CATCAAAGTGGTATTTAATTAGAGGTGATCTTTAATTCGAGTGGTCTTTAATTAGAATGAGACCTGTATTCAAACAATTGTCTTGTAATATTAAACAATAGGACAGACTAAGTTTTTGATATTGAAGTTAAGAGTTCTTATCAAAGTACAAGCTCATTGTCAGGTTCGAGAAAAATGCGTGAACTGGAGCCATATTTGCTCTAGACAAATGCTGTTGGGCTACATGATGTTCAGAAAACATCTTGTTGTGGCGGCATTCTATAAAGATAATTTTACTAGTCGGGCACTACAATATCTTTTGCAGGTCTGATCATTAAGTCTTGGTTTTACTGAAGAAATTTTATTATTTGTTGATTACGTTCATTATTTCAAAGTACAATAATATAATTATACTATTTTAATACTATCAATACTAACATAAAGATTGTATAATTATTAGGCAAATATTATTAATTATTATACATTTTCTTGCTTTAGGAAATGCGAACAAGAAAGAAAAAGCGAAAACGAAGGGGCGTGGTGATATCCAGAGCCATGGATAAAGCCATCAAAGAAGGTACAGTATATTATATAGTCAATCAGTCAATCAATCAATCAATCAATCAATCTATCAATCTACTTATGATATGCATAATACAATTATCAATTGATGCAATAATTACCATATTCATTTGATTTCCCTATGAATTTGATTTGATTAAATTTTATATTCTATGTTGATTTGATTTGATATTATTGATTTTGTTATTTAATTTTATTTGCCATTAATTTGGATTTTTTATAATAAGATTTTTTTTTTCTTTGATTTTTAATTCCCCCTCAGAGAGCAAAGTTAAGTGTATGTTATGAGGATTGCATAAAATTATAAAAAATACCGTAAAATCTCGAATTGAAGCCCTGGGCTTCTTTCTTTTTTTTGCGAACTTTGGATGGGCTTTTTTCGAGATGGGCCTCTTTTCGAGATGGGCCTCTTTTAGAGACTACTTTTGCAAAGTAAAGAGAGGGTGGGGTGGCTTTTCTTTGAAAAAGAATGCTGTAAATTTTGTGAATTTGTACTATAAAACAATAAATAAGGCCACTGTAACATCAATCTGTACCTGGAGTGTATTTAACTGGCATTAAATCAACTAAACTACTGTATAAACTGAGCTTGTATTCAATGTATTTTGTTTTTTGAAATTCATATATAGTGTATGTACTGTATTGTCTCGAAAAGAAGCTCATGCTATTTTGAAAAGAAGCCCAGATGGGCTTCTTTTCAAGGTTAATTTTGCAAACTAAAGAGGGGGCTTCAATTCGAGATGGCTTCATCTCAAGATTACGCCCACTGGGCTTCAATTCAAGGTTTTACGGTATGGGAACTGAAGCTGCATATTGCTGCCTCTGTTTGTGGATGTTGGTGCAATTGAAATACATACACAAGAAAAATTAATTCAAAATGTTAATATTGATTACTCTA